TAATTTCTAGTGAGCGTGTACATCAATTATCTTGCTCCTGTGCCTACCACTCTGTCGTTACTAATGTGTGTCATAAATAGCCTGCAAATTTGGATCAAATGAATACGTGTAAATGTCCCCGTTTCGGTATGCCTGAACTAGTGCACAATGATAATCAAGCATCAAAACACTTCAATAGCAATACATAAAGGCAACATATATGCACACAGATACAGGTAGAAGTATTTGTTTGCATTTCATCTAATATACACAACTTCTTAAAGCACTATTTATTACATTAGGAAAATTAGTGTTGCATTGCTATTAAATTATTTCTCGTTACCTTGTGAGCTTTTATGTATTTGCTTTTCTAATATGCATAGGGCACGACCGACTGTGATCAATCCTGGCCCGGTCAAGTTGGCCCAATGGGACCCAAGGGCACCATGGGTGAATTGGGCAAATCTGGACCCATGGGTGAAACCGGTGACCGTGGCTACAAGGGAATCCGTGGATTGCCAGGACAAATGGGGGATCCGGGACGGGATTGTCCTCCTGGACCACCAGGCCTTAAGGGGACTAAAGGCGATCCAGGTTAGTCTTGTTTTCACGCTGCATTGACTATCCCAATTATTTATCGTCCTAATCTATCTTGCTGAAGGAGATTCTTCGGATCAGTGGTCATGCCAATGATGTTTTTATTGAATTGTGCTATTATTGCGCTTGGATGTTACCAACTCATAGTAGATTAGTTTGAACCCCATTATTTTTAGCCTGTTCCTGAGGCAATTGAAGTTAAATTATTCATTAATATTTTATGCAAACATATGCTGTCTACATTTCGGTATCTGGGATGAGTTTGGCAAACACCGTCTTCCTGTAAATGCGCACCATTTTTATAAAGCATGAAGTAAGCTTCAACCATACTTTTCAAGAAATATTATAAGAATGTGTTGTTGTTAACGAGTCTTTTTGTTTATTAGCATAAATAACAAGGGTTAATTATTAATTTTTAAAATATAAATGCAGCTTATGCATGTTTCTACCGAGGTGTAAGATATGGCTAAGGTGCCACTTTAATCAGAAGACCTTTGGGAAGTATAATACTGGCTTTTAGTCTTACCTTTACCTTTTAATTATCCAGCTGACTCTGCCACATTATTTCAGTTTCTATGCATCGTAACGACAAGAAGCAACTAAATAATCGTTATACATACAGCTATAAACTCGCCTCATCATATATTTTTTGCTATGATTAAACTTCGGGCTTAATAGCAATAGTAATATCAGGTGGTCCTAAAAACGAATAAATCTCAGACCTAAACCATCTTAAAGGCATTGATCAAACATGAAGAGTTAAAAATAGCCGCAGAGCATTTTAATCCGCCTCAATAAATCGTCGAACATAACCTCAACCAGTGAGATTAGGTGATTAAAATCGACCATCTTACCGCCTTCACACTTTAATTTCATCTAGATTATGTGCCTTAATGGATGTCATAGCCAACAAGACATCTTTAAAAATGAAAAAAAATTAAAAGCGGTATAAATCAAAAAGGGCTTTAAAAGAATAAATTTATGCACAAAACATAGTTTATGATAGTTTTGCTTGTCCTGAGGTAAAAATTATCTGCTATTATAAAATGCTCAAGGGTTCCTACATGTTTTCTGGCATAGTTTTAGAATTGTATCGAATGTACTTTTATTGTAAATAACTCACAATTGCAGTCTTATAATAACTATACAATTCGTAAGACCGATCTTAAGTAATGTTTTTTTTAATCTTTGTATTGATTCAACATAAATAATATTTTTTCAAGGATTGTAGGACTAAGTCATAAAATGAGCTATTTTCTTCTTCCAAAAATTTCTCGTTATAG